GCTGAGCAGGGAGCCCGATGCGGGGCTCGATCCCAGGACCCTGGGATCATGACCTGAGCCAAAGGCAGACGCTTAACGACTGAGTCACCCAGGTGCCCCCGTCCTTTTTATTCTATATTAACACTGCGGAGATGTGATTTTCCTTCTCATTTCTGGAACTTAAGCGGGAAATTAACTTCAGGGAAATTAAGCGACTTACCCCAAATTTCTGTAGTTTACTTGTTCTTTCTGGGTTGTTTGCTCCTGTGTGCAGTCATTTTTAAAACGTGGGAGGCCCTGGCTCGATGCTGGCAAATCGTCCAGGTTTTGGTCGTCATGGGAAGCACGTGAGCAGAATACAAAGGCTCGCAGGCCTACCCCCGTAGTTCCATAATGTGGAGGGGCTATGAAGGGGCAAGGTGCTCTGTTACAGAATAGCAGGGGCTCACTTTTGTGTGGGGGCTCCAGGAGGCCCCTTTAAGGGGAGGGTCGGGGGAGCTGAGACCTGAGTGATGAGCACCTGGTGGGGGCCACATGGACGGAACTCAGGAAGGGATGTACATAGGCACTTGAGGGTTTAGAAGGGGATGAGGCCAGCATGATAGGAGCACGCGGAAGTGGGCTGGAGGGTTGCACCGAGCCAGTGCGAGCATGACCTGAAGCAGGTTCCCCCATAAACTTGACGGAGAGTCACCAGCAGGTACATTAGAGGTTATAGGGTTCATTTCACAGCTAAGGTGGTGAGAAGGTGCGGCGTTACTCAACCCAGAACTAAGCACAGCACGTTCCCAGGTGTGACACGGCCTCATGGGCTGCCCAGAGTTCGCCCCAGGGTGTCCGGCTGTGGGGGGGACACCCTTGCAGAGAGGTGTTCAGTCGGCCTCCACCAGGTCCCTTGGCCGTGGTCCAGCTGGGCTGCACAGGGGCCATTCTCTCAGGGCTGCTTTTCCAGGAAGACCTCCAAGGTGTAGGTCTCTGTGATGTCCCTCCCGCAGGCTGCATGGGGGTCTGTGGGATCAAGGGATGGACGAGGGGGGATGAGCAGCACCCACTGACGGCTTGGGAGTGGGCTTTGTGGGAGAAGCGTGGTCAGCTACGGGGATGCTGCTTCCTGAGACAAGGGAAGAGGAAGAATTGAGTTTTGAGGAAAGATCAGAGGCACTTCCGGGCTGGGCGAGTTGAAGATGCCTGGAGACACCAGATGGACATGTCTGTTCAGATGCAGGCTCGGGCTGGAGGTAGCAGGACGGGGACCCAGGAGGGAGCCCGCGGAGAGTGGAGAGCGGCATCGAGGGGAGGGGAGCGGGAGGACGCCCTCAGGAACTGCAGCCTTTACACCATCAGAAAAGTAACAGGAAACCAGGGCAGTGAGGGCAGGAAAGCCGAGAGAAAAGAGGTCCCAGAAGAAGGGGTGACGAGCCGTGTCTGATGTTGCCTGCAGTTCAATCAGGTGAGGACTGGAAGGTGTCTTGTTTTTGCCGCCAGTACATGGCTGAGGGCCAGAGCGGGTTTGGGGAGCACGGGACCACCGTAACCATTGTGACTCCCCCACTTTGCTGTGCAGGGAAGCAGAGGTGGGGAGCAGCAGACTGAGGGGAACCCAGGGCCTGGAGAAGGACATTTACGGTGATGCCAGAGGATCTGAGCTTTCTGCTGGGGACGCTCCTCCACAGACAGGGGGAGGCTGAGGGTTTGGGCGGAGGGCAGGGACAGTTGCAGGAAAGAGGATACTGAGAAGGTGGGAGCCAGGGCTCCGGTGTCAGCACTTGGGAGGGGCTGGGCCCTCCGGGAAGGAAGGTCCAGAGAACAGAGACGTGTGCAGGGGTGTGGGTGGGAGGTGTGAACATGGCACGTACCTGTGTGATGCTTCTCAGTGACGCACAAGGTGAGGACGTCAGGAAGAAGAGGGGAGGACTGTGGGAAGGTATGGGACAGTCCTGCCAGCGTGGGGAGGTGGCTTACTAGCAGAAGCCCAAAGAGTTACGCGGCAGGTAGCGTGCCCATGTGAGGCTGGAGGTCCCAGCCGGCCTAGATGAGGGACTAGCTCCTGCAGGGCTCTGCTGGGAGGTGCAGAGGCTGCCGAAGGTCGGGGGGTGGAGCCCAGGGGCTAGAGGTCGGGTTGAGAAGCCAGACCGCCTGGTGTGGGTCCCAGCGGGGGCACTTACAGTCAGGTGACTCTGGGTGTCTTATCTATTAGGTGGGGCGGGAGGGTGCTAGGACAGAAGCTGGCCCCAGGCTCTCTGTTTCAGGGGAGCAGGAGAGGGAGGAGAGGTGTTTCCCGTGGCTGCTGTAAAAAATGACCGCACACTTGGGGGCTGCAAAGAACAGAGCTTCTTCTCTCTCGGTGCTGGAGGCCACAGGCCCAAAGTCGGTTTCACGGGGCTGCAGTCAAGGTGTTGTTGGGAGGACCGCCTCCCTCCGGGGTGGGGTCCGCCAGCCTAGGCGGAAACCCCGCCCACACGCCTGTGCCCTGCTGCCCAGTTCCGACAAGGTGCCGGGTTCCCGCCCGAGGTGGAGGGGGGGCTGACAAGCCAGAACGGGATTTTTTATGGGGGACAGAACGGGGATGGCGGCAGAGCGGGGCGGCAGTAATGCCCATCTGGTTTCCATGGCAACCCTCCCTGTCCTCTTCCTGGCAAGGTGAGGGTTTCTTGGAAGAGATGCTTTCCTTCTTCCAGCAGGTGCTTTCTGAGCCCCCGCTGAGCGCCTGGCGCTGTGCTAGGCGAGGTGCCAGAGAGGAAGCTGAGAAAAGCAAGCGCCCCCAAGATGCCCACCATCTACGGGGTAAACGGCGCGCACACAAATAAATACAGCACCGGGAGATCGCGCAAGCTGGAATAAGCATGGAAAGCGCCTCTGCCGCACGCGAGTGGTTTCCACCTGGTCCAGTGCGCCTTTGTGGGGTGTGATGTGATGTTCTCCCTGACTTAGCATCCCACCTAATCCACACCGCCCCATCCAGGACACGAGGCTCACGCATCGTCCTAGGGGTTTCTTAGAGATAAAAGGAATTACCTCACCTGTTGGAGGATCTGAGGGGCTCAATAAAGAGCTCCCCTCAACTTGGAGTCCTGAGCCAGGTGGGACATAAGACATACATCAGGCATGTTCCCCAACCTGGCCAAAAGAATAAATCAGCCATCACTTTCATTACACTGAAAAACCAGGTCAGAGGATGTGGCTTTATGGGCCGGCATTATGAGCCCCACAGTGAGACGCTGCTCCCCATAAAGCCAACTTCAGAGACGCCTGCTCTGGGTCACCAGGTGCTGTGGCTGTTCATGCTGAGTGCCAGCCCCTGGGCCCCCGTCAGTTCCCTCACAGAGCTCCTCCACACGACGGGGCCCCGAGGCCCAGGAGATGGGCATGGTCCCCCATCTTGATTATCCAGTCCCAACCAAATGGATACTCGTCACAAACACCACGTCTACGCAAGCAGGCAGGAGTAAAGCGGCTTTTCTGGGGATGGCGGTGCTTATAGCAGACGTTTGGGGTTTTGCCCCGGACCACCACCTTGACCTTACTGTCCATGGTCTGTCTGGCACCAGCCACAGATAGCAGCCGGGAGAGAGGCTGTCAAAAGCAACCCAGAAACTAACTCCCTGTGCCCCGGGGAAGACCACGCGCATAGTCCCCGACTCTGATTAATGTCCACGTTGCTTTTCTCTGTCTCTCAGCCAATTTTTTGAATAGTAAATAATGAACGAGGCAAAGAATTAGAGCGGCATAAAAGACTGTACTGTGAAAATCAAGTAGTCTTCTTATCCCTGCACTGAAGGCAGTCCATTCCCCATGCCACGCATGTATCCTGTGGAGACTGTCCATGGCGGTATGCATATTTACACAAGTACTCCTTTTTTAAAATGTTAAATAATAGCATACTTTACACCCTGTTTTGCTCCTTTTTCCCCACGTTGCAATAGTCTTGGAGATTGTTCAACATCTATAACTATAGAACAGCCTGTTCTTAATTTTAAGTGGCTGCATAATATTCTAATAATAGTAAAGATTGCTGAATTTATTGATAATTTAATATAAGTGAGAGACAGCTGTGATTGTTTTTAATTATTTATTTAAACTCAAGTTAGTTGACATATAGTATATTATTAGTTTCAGCGGGAGAGTTCAGTAATTTATCAGTTGCATACAACACCCAGTGCTCATCCCATCACGTGCCCTCCTTAATGCCCATCCCCCAGTTACCCCATCCCCCCACCCATCTCCCCTCCTGCAACCCTCAGTTTGTTCCCTAGAGTTAAGAGGCTCTTAGGGTTTGTCTCCATCTCTGATTTCATCTTATTTTATTTTTCCCTCCCTTCCCCTATGTTCATGTTTTGTTTTCTTTAATTCCACATATGAGTGAAATCATATGGTATTTGTCTTTCTCTGACTTATTTCACTCAACATAATACCCTCTAGTTCCACCCACGTTGTTGCAAGTGAAAGATTTCATCCTTTTTGATGGCTAGTAGTATTCCACTGTGTGTGTGTGTGTATATACACACCACATCTTCTTTATCCATTCATCTGTTGTTGGACATCTGGGCTCTTTCCACAGTTTGGCTATTGTGGACATTGCTGCTATAAACACTGGGGTGCAGGTACCCCTCTGATCACTATGTTTGTATCCTTTGGATAGATACCTAGTAGTGAAATTGCTGGGTCATAGAGTAGCTCTAATTTTAACTTTTGAAGAACCTCCATACTGTTTCCCAGAGTGGCTGCACCAGCTTGCATTCCCACCAACAGTGTAGGAGGGTTCCCCTTTCTCCACATCCTCACCGACATCTGTCGTTTCCTGACTTGTTAATTTTAGCCATTCTGACTGGTGCGAGGTGGTATCTCATTATGATTTTGATTTGTATTTCCCTGATGCTGAATGATGTTGAGCATTTTTTTCATGTGTCTCTTGACCATTTGTAAGTCTTCTTTGGAGAAATGTCTGTTCATATCTTCTGCCCGTTTCTTGACTGGATTTTTTGTTTTTTGGGTGTTGAGTTTGATAAGTTCTTTATAGATTTTGGATACTAGCCCTTTATCTGATAGGACATTTGCAAATATCTTCTCCCATTCTGTAGGTTTTCTTTTAGTTTTGTTAAATGTTCCTTTGCTGTGCAAAAGCTTTTTATCTTGATGAAATCCCAAAAGTTCATTTTTGCTTTTGTTTCCCTTGTCTCTGGAGACGTGTCTAGCAAGAAGTTGCTGCAGCTGAGATCAAAGAGGTTGATGCCTGTGTTCTCCTCCAGGATTTTGATGGAGTCCTGTCTTAACATTTAGGTCTTTCATCCATTTTGAGTTTATTTTTGTGTGTGGTGTAAGAAAGTTGTCAGTTTCATTCTTCTGCATGTGGTTGTCCAATTTTCCCAGCACCATTTGTCTTTTCCATTGGATATTCTTTCCTGCTTTGTCGACCATACAGTTGAGGGTCCATTTCTGGGCTCTCTAGTCTGTTCCATTGATCTATGTGTCTGTTTTTGTGCCAGTACCATACTGTCTTGATGATTACAGCTTTGTAATAGAATTTGAAGTCAGGCATTGTGATGCTCCCAGCTTTGGTTTTCTTTTTCAACATTACTTTGGCTATTTGGGGTCTTTTGTGGTTCCATACAAATTTTAGAATTGTTCCAGCTCTGTGAAAAATGCTGCTGATATTTTGATAGGGATTGCATTGAATGTGTAGATTGCTTTGGTTAGCATAGACATTTTAACAATATTTGTTCCTCCAATCCATGAGCATGGAATGTTTGTCCATTTCTTTGTGTCCTCTTCAATTTCTCTCATAAGTGTTCTATGGTTCTCAGAGTACAAGTCTTTTACCTCTTTGGTTAGGTTTATTCCTGGGTATCTTACGGTTTTTGGTGCAATTGTAAATGGGATAGATTCCTTGATTTCTCTTTCTTCTGCCTCATTGTTAGTGTATAGAAATGCAACTGATTTCTGTGCATTGATTTTATATCCTGCGAATTTGATGAATTCCTGTATCAGTTCTAGCAATTTTTTTTGTGGAGTCTTTTGGGTTTTCTACATAGAATGTCATAAAAGACTACTTCTTTTCTGATTTGGATGCCTTTTATTTCTTCTTGTTGTTTGATTGCTGAGAGTAGGACTTCTAGTACTATGTTGAACAGCAGTGGTGAGAGTGGACCTCCTGTCATGTTCCTGACCTTAGGGCTAAAGCTCTCAGTTTTTCCCCATTGAGGATGATATTCGCCGTGGGTCTTTCATGTATGGCTTTTATGATGTTGAGGTATGTTCCCTCTATCCCTACACTGTGGAGAGTTGTCATCAAGAAAGGATGCTATATTTTGTCAAATGCTTTTTCTGCATCTACTGAGAGGATCATATGATTCTTGTCCCTTTTTTTATTAATGTGGTGTATCACATTGATTTGTGGATGTTGAACCACCCTTGCAGCCTAGGAATAAATCCCACTTGGTCTTGGTGAATAAACCTTTTCATGTACTGTTGGATCCTATTGTCAAGTATAGCTCTGATTGTTTTATGTGCATTAACCTATCTACTCCTCAGAGCAGCCTCAGAGCTAAGGACTGTTTATAGATGAGGAGACTAAAGCACAGCATGTGAGTCATTCTCCAGAGTCACACAGCAAGTAGGAAGATGTAAGCCCAGGTGGTCTGAGTGCAGAGCCCACACGGTTGCCCCGTGCTCCCCAGCCCCCGGCGATCATAGAGCTGTTAACCTCCCGCATCGAGGGCTGTTCGCATGCATGCAAAGTTAACTGCAGCATGGATTCTTTGAAGGGAAATTGTCTTATTGTGTGCTTTTCGTAGATGCTGTCGGATTGCCCACCACCGAGGCCAGGCCAGTTTACCGTCTAGCCTAGGAGAGTCCCTGTGTCACATACCCTAGTCACAGTGGCTCCAGATCGTTCTACCCATGTCAGTCTGATAGGAAACCGTGGCACTTCCTGTAGCTCCAATCTGCACGTTTCCTTCTAACGCACGAAGTTGGACATCTTTCACACGTGGAAGGGGTATTTGTGTCTCCTTGTCTGGTGAGCAGAGGAGATGGCCTGGGCTTAGGCTGGACCGTTTGCGTGCAGTGCTTGTCCCCCTCTCCTGATCTGCCACTTAATCATCCAATGACCTTGAGCACAACCCGTAACCTCCATGTGCCTCCAGGGCCTCATCTGAACCCGGGGTGGTGATGTGCGCACCCCACGGGAGGTGAGGGTTTAATGAACTCCCCTATGCCCAGAGCCGAGAACAAGGGCTCTGGCCGGGCTCCCGGTACGTGATGCACCTGTTTCCAGACCCTTTAGTTCTTGGCTCTGTTCTGCCCATTGGACTCCACGTTTCCTTCTATGACTCAGCCTCATAGATTTTGCAGAAATGGGCTGCAGTTACTCAGTGACTCCTGGCTTCTAATTCTTTGCTCTACCCGAGCATGTCATGCACTGTTCAGTCCACAGTGGGCACGAAGGCTGGCAACAGGCCAGGTCCTGGCCCCCCGGAGCTCATAGTGTAGTTGGGGGGACAGGCATTCCTGAAAGAATCGCATGGAAAAATATGTGATTACACAGGGTGCTGGGCACCGTGAAGGAGGTGATCCCTGGTGCTCTGAGAAGCTGGTGTTAGAGCCCTTCTTGGGCTGGAGGTTTGGTGTGTGGTCAGTCACCG